GCTGTTAGTAGCAAGAGGAATATGGGAATGTAGAGGGAAAGAAACATAACAGATGCATTTATTCACACAATCTGTCAGTCTCTGTTTCCATTAATCTCTACATCCCTTTCTGTCTTTCTCTCTCTCTGAATGTCTGTCCATCTCTCTCTCTCTCTTCACTCTGCCCCAAATGAGTTTTGCCTTGAAGACAGTCAAATAGAGCTATCCCTCTAGACAGGGTGATATGAGATTAGAGAGAAAATGAGGTAAATTTATCTGAGACAAAGCTCTAAAGTATATAGATAGATAGACAGACAGACATGACCGAGAGAAAGAAACAGAGCAGTTATTAAATGTTTACTACACACCAGAAATTGATAAACAATAGCTCAATGAACCCACGATGTAGAAACTCCCTCAACTGATGCAGATCCCAAAGCACTAAGGCATTCTGGTCCTGTGCAATTTTGTTTAGGTCTTTTGGGAATCTTCTGTAAAATATCTACTCAACACACTAGGACATTCTTTTGGTTCTTTGAGAGTGCAACACTATACTGGAGAATAATTCACATCCTGGTAGCAGCTGGATATGCACAGTGGTCCCAGGGAAAAAGATGTAGAAAAACACAGTGCTAGGGAATGAGTTTTGGGACATATCCACAGCCAATGGGTGAAGGAGATGATGAAAAATCAGCAATAAGGACACAGGAGAAGAGGCTGGAAATGTATGAGGTGGGGGAGGGGAACACAACCCAAGGATCTGTGCTATCCTTGGAACTAAGATGTTTACAAAAGAGAGGGGGAAAGGTGACTAAAAGCAGCAAAAAGGTTTAGAAGAAAAAGACAAAACAGACCGGCACTCACAGATTAAAAAACTTAGAGTGATTACATGAGGGAAGAGGCTTTTGAGTTCCTCCACTGGTTTTTGTTTGTTTCACACGGAACCTGTGATTTCATTTCATGGTGAATTTCAGGTGACAAGTTTAGAGTATTAGAGCTGCCTGGGTCACTCGCCCAGAGTAATGCTGCCGATGTTGCTGCTTGTCCTCTGTTTTCAAAGAGGACCAATGACATCACAGGGTGATATCTTGACTTGTGCATGAATTCGATTTAAGTAAGTCAGAGTTATACAGAATTCTCAACCTCACTGTCTCTTCCAAATTTATGGAAGTCCAATGCCAGGACAAAAGTCAAGATGACTGCTGATTGCCCAGGATGCAGTGGATGACTTTGGCATCGTCAATGTCTTACCAAGATCTAAGTACTGAACAGCACCTGATTCAGCCACTTTCATGACCATTGGAAAAAAATCATTCTCTTCCACCCACTCCACTGGGGGAAGTCTATACATGTTTAAGATAGACATCCTCCTAACTCACCAACAGGTTTGAGGCCTGTTGGTTACCTTCAACCTTATTTAGCTCATCTGTTGAGACAGTTTTATCAGGGTGTGTCTGCTTCACATGCTACAGTTTCTTGGAGTCGCAGGTAAGAGTTGAGCGTCAGATGGACACCAAAGGTGGATGAAAAGCACTTGGCAAGCCCTCATACCAAGGGATTAGTCTTCCCTGACACCCAATTTGTCAGAGGTAAGACTTGAAGACAAGGCTTAGTGACTCCGAGGTCAGCTCTCTGTCCATTATACAGAGCTATATCTCCATTGCTTTTATGAGTAGGCAAATGGTAATGCCATTAAGAGAAATAAGAACATCAGGAACCAAAAAAAAAATCATTTTTAAAGGAAAAGAGTCAGGGCAGAGTAGCAGAAAAAACCTTGAGTCAGAGGATCTGCTTATGAATTCTGGCTCTCACCCAAATGAGCTGTGTCACCATGTGTAAGCCTTTTGACTTGTCTTGGCCTATTGCCTCATCTGCAAAAGATGAGGGTTGTACTAAATGATCTGTAATATTTTTATAGGTCTAAATCCAATGATCTCCAACCTCCTCATTTTACAAATGATCAAGGCCCTAAGAGGTGAAGTTTACATAGGGAGCAAGAAGAATTTGAACCAATGTAGATTCTACAATTCCAAATCCAGTCTCCTGACCATTACATTCTTCTGTCTCCAATTGGGACAGACCTTCCAAAAAACAAATTTAAAGAAGTGCCAGAAGGAAACAGAGACAAACAAGATGGCTTGGAAGGAACATGAAAAATTTATTTTATGTATGTGTATGTATGTATACACATACACATGTGTTATATACAGTGTGTATATAACATCAGTGTCATTAACATATATTAAAAGGAAGTCGCATATAAAGTTTTATAGTTTCATGTACAATGTTATTTCTGTTCTACATTGCAGGTGAAAATGTCCTCTTTTTCTTTTCTTTTTTTTTTTGTCGTTGTTTGTAAAGTTCAAGGGAAAATGTTTTTTTCCCTAAAATTCCTGATTCTTCATAGTATCAACAAAGGAGAGATTTACCATGTTTTCTCTGTCCTCCAACAAAGGGGCAACAGATCTAAATCATGTGATCATGTATCATTGACTTTCTTTAAGTCATACACCACTCTCTTTAGATTTGTAGTTTTGTGTGCAATCATCTTTATTATTGTACTATGTTATGGAAATGCTTGTTTTATTCCATAAATTAAAAAAAAAAGAATTTCCAGTGTAAAATCATAAAAAGCTTCCTGTTAAGTGACACTCAACTGATTCTTATATTGATTTTCCTAATATAAGAATGGCTGACTAATATTATTGTTCTAAAAATTTTACAACATGTGAAACCATAATAGAACTGATAACTGTTTTCAATAGTTTCTTTTGCTTTACTAAGTCACTTCCTACTTCTCTCAAGGATGTCTAATAGCAGGTGCCCAGAGTCTTGCTCATGAATGTTTTCAAAAGTGTGTCGGGTTCCAGTCTAAAATACATGATGGACATCAGTACCAGGTCAAATCATGGCTTCCTCCCTATCTCTTGGGAGAGGGAGGAGGTAACTGACCTCACCACTGAGAATAGTCTGGAATGTTGTTTATAGCAGTCAGATGAACTACATGTAGACACTCTTAGCTTTAACTGAATTAAGTCCCAGTGAAAAGTCATTTCATTTCCATCTTCATTAACTCTTTCATTTGATAACAGTATAGCATGGTACTGGACTTGGACTCAAATGATCTGAGTTTCCAGTTCTGACTGGACCATTACTTGTTGCATGATCTTGGGCAAGTGATCCAAGTTCTTTGAGACTCAGTTTCTTCATCTGTAATATGGCTATAAAAAATGTTCATATTCCCTAGCCCACTGGATGGTAGTGAAGATGATATGAGAGGGTGGATGCACTTGGCACTTGGTTAATTTAAAACACTAAATGAATGGACACTATTATTATTATTTAATGCTATAGTCCAATAAGGTAAGCATTCTCCCCCTAAGTCTCCCCTCTGCTACCTCATTGTGGCAGTGAAGTGACCCTGAGTCAGTGAAAGCTCTTAGAGGCGAGAGCAGTTTCCAGCAGGTTCTGCCAAGATGAAAAAAGATTTCAAATACAGTCCCTTAACTCTGTGTATCTGAGGATCAACTTCTGTAAATGCAGTGACATATTATCAGGCTGGTTTTAGAAATGATGAGGTGGATTTTTTTGGTTTGTTTGTTTGCTTTGCTTTTTTCCTTGTAGGTACAGCAACTGTGACTGAAGGAAAAGCCGATACTAATGAGACAGAAGATCACTGAGGTGTTGAAGAGAATCAGAAAACTGGGTATCAGGTCACCTAAAGTTCAAATTCCATTTCTTCTTATAATTGGCAATTGGAGCTGCAGAAAGAACCCTACTCATACACTCAAGAAACCTGAGTGTAAGCGTTGGCTCTGAGAGTTCCAAGCTGTGTGACCCTGCTAATGTCATTTCAACTCTGTTTCAGATTGTTCATAATCCGCAAATAGGGGTAATAACACTTGTACCACCCACTTCAAAAGAGTTGTTAGGAATCAATCAATTAATCTACAAACACTTATTAAGCACCTACACTGTGTCAAGCTTTTTGTAAACATTCAAGTTCTTTAGAAATCTAGGTCATTATTATTAACAATTTTCCTTTTCTGATGGATTTCTAGTCTGCCAAATCAAGGGTATACTTTAGATTCAGTTTACATAAATGCTAACAAAACATTTAAGAAAGTCTTATCTCTGCAGACAAGATGTAGAGATGTAAGGCTGGATAGAGGGATTTGAAACCATCTGAATGGCTAGACCAAAATGGTTCGATATCAAGCTGGGGAGACGTTTCTCGCTTGAGTGTCCCAGGGATCTAACCTTGGCTCTGTGATTTAACATTGTTATAAATGAACTGGATGAAGCTACAGTTGGAATGCTTATTAAATTTGCTAGGAGAGATTGTTAATATGTTGGATGAGATTCAGTATCCAAAAAGATCTTCACAGGTGAGAATGATTGTCCAAGCAACAAATTCCAAATTCAGTGTTTTATTTTCTTTTTCCCACTGTAGTAGGCACTAGTGAAAGTTAGGTCTATTCTCCCTGAGTTTCTTTATATGATGTGTCCATCACTCTGCTGACATACTCTCCGTTCCCAAAGATTGAAAAGGGCTTCCATTAGAATAACCATTACTCTCCCTCTTGTCACATCTTGACAAATCTGCTTGTCTTCAACTGTAATAAAAATGCTTTGCTGGCAGCCAATAATAGGCAGTGAAAAAGATTTTATTGGGCAATAATGACAGATTTTGGTTTGAAACACCAATTTCTACACAATAGCTATGGATCCAAGGCTATTTCTCATTTAGCTCTTAGTTATATCCCTTTAGATCTCTTAAGCCCATGGACAAGTTCAAGGCCTTTTGTCTTCTTTCATAGATTTTTGCAATAATTTGACAGAGGTCTAGGAAATATGTAGATAGTGTTATCACTAAAATTGTAATAGTTCTTTTTAAATATAATTATAGTGGAAGGCCTAAAGTCAGCAAATGGAATGTAGGCTTAACACTTTTTAGCAGGAAGAGCACACATGTTAAAAAACAACCAAAGTCTGGGCATATGCTTACAGCATAAACTCACCTGCATTGGAGCCTGTCAAATTATAGCGGGCATTAAGTTTCTTGATGATATTTTCATGGATTTGATACCATTCACTCTCTGTGTTGCACCTATGAAAACAGTGAAACCCTGTTAAGTCTTAATGACGCATAACAGCAAGCAATGTTCTTAGTAGTTGATCTGACCTTCCCGATCATAAACACTTCCTTCTTGTCTCATCATTGAGACAAGGTCTAGGTCAGATTTTATCATGATGTTCATGATAACCGTTCTGAAATAAGCAGGACCCCCAAATGAGCCCCTAGTCCACTTCCTATCCAGGAAACCTCTGTTACAAACTGAATCATCAAAAGAAAAATCCATATAGAATAGTGGCTACTGTGACACTGTCCATACCAGTGGTTCTCAAAGCTTTATCTGGGGATACCAAGGATTCTAGATGTAAAAAAATATTTTCATAATAAGATTAAGGTATTTTAATTTTGAAAGGGTAAATATCAATAGATATAACCCACATAAACAAAAGCTTTGGTTGAGAGGGTCCTCAAGAATTTTTAAGAATGTATAGGAGTCTCAAGACCAAAAAATTACCGAAACACTGGTCTCTACTGAAGTCAGTGGTCATGATAGATTTCTTCTACAATAAAAATTAGGTTGAATATCAACCTCTAATCACAACCTTCAAGGCACAATGTATTCAGTATTTATCAAAGGGAATTGAACTTTTAAACAAAGTATAATTCAGCTCAGAAAATATTTCCTAGATTAAGTAAATCTTAACTACTTGAGCACTCTGGGGCCTATTTTTCTCCTCCCCTATTACAATTACTTCCTTAGCTAGGGTTTCATTCAGGTCATTGTCTCTTGCCCTTACAGGTATTTCCAAATAAGCTGCCATCTTGTATTAGACACTAACATTTCTCTCCATGAGCTGAGAAAAGGCAGCCTCAGTGATTAAAATAAAACCAGAGTCGAAATTATTCCCTGGTTATATCTTTTCCTACACCCTGAATCTGAAGCTGTTAGTTTATATTTTACCTATTTTGCAATTCACAGGTACTTTCATGATGGACATTATTTGTCACACATATAACTTTCTGAACAGTGAGGCACCAAATAGAGCTTTTAAATGTGGATGACTAGAAAACTGAGATCAAATAAAATATGACCAGCAGTAAGAAATAAAATTACCTTCCAAGAGAATTTGCATGTAGTTTTTTTTTTCTTCCTTCTTTTACCTCAGTGGGTAAGGAGAAAAGATGGCTGGCATCTTACTAGGTACCTAAGCAATATCAATGTTCAAGTCTTTTCTTAACCAATAAAACCCAAAATGAAACTAAAGCTTATTCTAAAAAGTCTAAGGCCAGAATTTGTGGCTCATAAACCAGAGATTCAAAATATTCCTTAATACTGTGTTTAAGTTCCAGAATAGCATGGGATCTGGGAACTCCTAACAGAACTTCCAGACTGTCATCAGATTTGATGTCAGTTAAGACACATAACATTCTCACTCTCTTTCTCTCTCTCCCTCTCTCTCTCTCTCTCTCACACTCTCTCTCTCTCTCACCTTGTTTAAAAACAAACAAACACAAAAAACTAAGTTCCTATTTTCTTTTCTCTATGATTTCTCCCTAGCGGATAGTTCTTCTTATAAAGACCATCCATACTCTATATTCCTGAGGTTTCTCCAAATTCCTTGGAATAACCCAGTGCTCTCACTTGATGATGAGAAAAATACAGCATTAAGATGTGTTCACCAGAGAGGCAGTGGGCCATATGGGCGATACAAGAATTCATGACTTTTATTCTGCTTTCTACATGATCAAAGAAAATATATTTAGCTGTTTCTCTCTCTCTCAGTTTTCCCCTACGTGGGGTGGATGTAACACTTGCTATCTACAGTTTCAAATAAAAGTGTGAGTATTGATGACATTATGTTTGCTGAGAATTTCAGTTCCTTAAAAGGGCAATGTTGAAAAGTAATGCTTTTGTTGTATTACTCGGGAGCCAGGCAGGACGGGACCTGCAAATGCATTACTTGGTTCTAACATGATTGAGAGTGAATTTTCTTTGAAAGAGACCATGACCATGAATTTTAACCCTCTTCGGGAATGATTTATATGGGCAAGACATTTAACTTCTCAATGCTCTAGGACATTCTCTAAAACTTTAAGTTGCAAGAGGGTGTCCACCTTCATTGGTAGAGGAAATTTTCTCAGTTCCCTATGAAATCATAGGCCTAGTTTTTTAGCCCTGTACTCAGTTAAAGACAAAAAAATGATATGGTAGAATAGATAGAAGGGGTTAGTCTTAGAGTCGGGAAGGCCTGGATTCATGCCCTGCCTTTGACACATCCTGGCACATAGACAAGTCCCTTCACCACTGTGGCACAGGTAACTCTCCAAGACTATAAATTACAAAAGAATTGCTCATCTGCATCAGTGGGAAAGTTCCTGATAACGCTGTTGAAATCATAGGTCTGAACAAAAACAAACAAAAAAGCATTGGCACACTCCCAAAAGAGAAAAACAGTTATGAATTTTACCAAATATTTATGTATTTTAAAACAGGGTCAAAGGTTTCTACATTCTTATGGGATAGTTAGTTCTCCTTGCTTAAAGACCTCAGTTTATCAACTAATTGGTAAATGTGTGACACTGTGAAATGGAGAAGCAAGAGATTATGGATAACAACAGGAAATCCATCCATGTCAGTGGGGGAAAAGTGTTAAGTATGTGCCTATACAGTAATCCTACATGAATGAAACATAAATGATATATATCAAATAAATTAAGGTAATTATTAGAATAAACTGGTGTAATTTATGGCAGGCATGGATGAGCTTCAAGAGTTGACTCTGAGTCGTTGGAGGCCAGTTGGGTGGGAACACAAGGTTTGGCAGACCTCTCCAGGCTGAAAAGGCTCTAGGTTGGGTGTGCTGGATATGGTCAGAGAAGAAATACGTAAAATGTCATCTCAGAATAAGTTCAACTTTGAACAGACTTAGCTCCAGAAGTTTGGCCACCAGCTAATTAAACTTGCTAAACACTCCGACTCCTACAGACAATCTATAAAACAGGGGTTTACTTAGCCTCTTTTTGTTATGGAATATTGCTGGTAGTCTAATTAAATCTATGGACCCCTTCAAAGAACGTTTTTAAATATATAAAATAAAATACACGAGATTATGAAGGAAACCAATTATACTGAATTACAATTTTATATATATGTATGTATATAGATAGATAGATAGATAGATAGATAGATAGATAAAATTCATAGATTCCAGCTCAAGAATCCCTGATCTAAAACATAGAAAGGTTGGATCTACATTGGTAAAGAGATAACTCACACCAATGAATTCCCAAATTTTTTAAATATTTCAGAATTAATTTTGGCATTGTGTTCAGAGGGTCTCCCAGAAATATTCTGCTCAGTGATAAAAAGTTTTCCACAAAAATTTTCTTAGGAAAAAAAAAATAACCAAAATTCAAATTTAATGAAAACTTAGCTATAAAATGCAATATATGTTTTGGGGATGGGGAGATGAAATATACCAAATGGCTCATTTTATTAATTCCAACTTACTGTTAAGGGTAGGCTTCCTAATATATGTCATGTGACTGTTTTAGCCCACTTCAAGGTTCGAGACCCCTAATACGTGAAACTTCAATTTTATGAATGAAGCCAAACATGAAGCCAAACCCCTGTGTAACTTAGGTGATTGAGACATATATATGTGTGTGTATATACACACACACATACATATATGTATGGGGATATAATATATGTGTGTATATATACATATATTATGCTACTCTTTATCAGTGATGGTGGTGGTGTAGCTCTGATTGTGGTAGTTGTTGTTGTTTATAGAGCACTTTACATACATTATCTGACTGGAGCTTCACAAGAACACTGGGAGCTATTTTGAGCTATTATCTCCATTTTACAAATAAGGAAGCTGGGACCCAAAGAGATTAAGCGACTGATTCATGGTCAAAAAGCTAAAAGATAGCAAAGGGTGTGATTCAAATCCAAATTTTCTGATTCAGTCAGGTATCTGCCAATTATACAAAGCCCTATACCCATTTGGGAGTCCCAAATGGTATAAAAATATTTGTAATATTTTTGTTTTTTAATCCCATTTTCCCAGAAAATTTTGCCAATGTATTGTACAGAAAGCAGATGAGGGAATTCTGCAGAGCTATGATTAAAGTTGTTATGTAAACTGATACTACAGTATAGTTTGGCACTATATGGTAAAACAAGCCTTCTTAACCTGGTGTCCAAGGCTTATTTAATATTTTGATAATTGCACTAAAAGCATTTCAATATAATCAGTTTCCAAAGTAATTCTATGTATTTTACTTATGCATTAATAAACATTATTCTTAGAAGGAGTCCAGAGGCTTTAGCAGACTGCCCAAGGGGCCCATGACATGAAAAAGGTTAAAAATCCTTTTGCTATAAGACATTTGCAATATAATTGTAACAACATCTTCCTTTTGTAGGAGATTTCTAGTACAGATAAATGTTTTTATTAGGTAACACATGCACACATACATTTATGTTGTGATGCTTTCTGCTTGCTTATAAAATGTTCAGGAGCATTTGTGGGGCCATTTGTTATATTTCTGGGCTGTGGGAAAGGGCTTCCTGTCCATGCCTCCCTCTCCCCCCCCCCCCCCCCCCCAGAAAAAAAAAGGCACATAGAGAGAGAGGCAATATACTCACAAGGCAAGTAAGTGGGACCCACCTCTACATGGGACAGGGCAAACATAGCCATACTTTTTACTGCATCACCAAACTATAATGGCCAAATGTCTCAAAGCATAAATTTGGGAATAGAGGAAAAATGTTTCCACTTGCCTCCCTGTTAATCCAAAGGCTAGCAAGTCCAAAGGTAGCTCCTAAGAGAGCACCCTCATAAGAAAGTCTGCCATAAAAGAAAGAAACAACCTTGTGCTGTTGTTTCACTAAATGAACTTCACATGGACCTTGCATTAGCATATTGATAGGTTATATGGGGATCAGATGATTGACAGAAATGGACAGAATGTGTTCCTCTCCTGGAAAGACTTAAGGGAGCTCTTTAGCAGCTGAATTCCTTCCACTCACTGTTTAAGACTTGCTTGGCTATAGCATATCCTTGAACAAAAGCTCTTCAAGATATGTCAGTTATATGTAGGATATATGTCCTTTGACTTCCTTGGTGGCCTTGGGTTGACGTCATGAAAATCAAATAACAGGTAATCAAATAGCCTCTGATTAGTGGCTTGAAACAATGACATTTACTTAGGTTACTATTAAGACTGATTTGCCTATATTCTCATTTTCTCTATTTCTTCCCTCTTTCTTTCCTTCCCTACCCTCCCTCTAATACTCAGTTTCCCCATCTTGCCCAGAATAGTAGTAGAGGGGGCTATACAAAGGTTCATTCCTTCTTACTAGTCAGCATGGGGCAGCTGATTTGCTCTGTTTTTGACTTAGATAGGTGTACCCCTTTTTAGGTAACTTTATGCACCACCTCACCTGGACATTTACCATATTAATGCTGAATTTGATGTAGGTGGTCAATCAACTTGCCAGTGAAGCTCAAAACTTCAGGGCTCAAAAGATCTGTCAGCTTGTAGCTAGGATTACAGGCATGTGCCATCATGCGCATTAACTAATTTTCATTTTCTCAGAACTAACTGATGTTCAGGGAAGTGGTCTAGAAAAAAAAATGGGGGAAGCCATCTTGGAATTTTAAACCCATAGTAGAGAAGCTAAAAAAGGTGGGCAATCAATATTCACATTAATTGAGAACTTAATGTAGTTATCATTTGAGAAACAGCCAGTGGCAATTAGCGAGCTTATCCCCATAACACTACACATGTTGAGTCTCTTGGGATAGACCTGTGAAATCCACATTTTATGTCCTATCACCCATAGCTAATGCTAGCAAGAGTAGTAGAACTCTCATTTTCTATTCCCTTGGGAGTAGATGTAAGTGATTGCCCCATCTTTTCCCCAAATACAAATGCCTGAACATTTCTTACATGTACACTTTCAAGATGAGGTCATCCTTGGTCTCTCCAGTCAGCAGGTCCGCAATACTGAGGACTGCACAGCCAAAGGGCCGCCGGTACTGTACACTGCACGCGTTCTTCTTCTCACCAGCCCCCATTCGACCTGTCCAGTAAAACAATGACAGGACACAGCCACTTGACTGGAGCCATCCTCATGAGTCATGCCCAGCTACGTGGCAGTCCAGAAATAACTTCATGTTGTGATTGAAAGGAGGATTGGAAACCTGAGCTCTAGTTCTACCTCTGAGACTAAATAGCTGTGTGACCCTGGACTTGTCACCTAATCTCTCTGGTACTGAATTACTTCATCTGTAAAATGAGAGGATTAGACAAGATGATTTCTAAGGACTTTTAGTTCTAGGATTCCATATAAGTTCATGTGATGTTCTTCAATCATCTTTGCCTCTTCATCTGGACTTGCAATCAAGCAAGAGGAACATAACTTTCACAATAGCTTGAGAAGATCCTCATATGAGAAACATGTATGGGCTATTTCTGCCACCATCTCCCAAACCCATAAAGCATAACTCTCTTTGCTTCACAACACTTAGATGTTGACAAACTTAATTTGGGGGGTCTTCCCTTCTGGCTCTGTGAGGACTGGCTCTCTCTCCCACACTACAACACTGATACTATTACAGTGCTCAATTGACTGGTACTGTCAACTCTAGAGTTCCTAACTCTCCGATTAATGAGAAGCCCCGGACTCTAGTCATATTTATAGGAAAGGCCCCTAAGCAAGAACAAAGCGGGGAGGAGAGGAAAGGAGAGCACCTACCAGCAACAAGCTATTTCAAAACTGAAGAAGGAAAAAGAAACGAGAGTAAAAGAGGAATAAAAAGGAATGCAAAGAAGGGGATGAGAGAAAGCAAACTTCTTAATTTTCTTTATTTAGAAAATATGTTTCCTTTCAGAATCAAAGACCTAGCCTTAAACACCGAGAAGCAAGGCACTAAATGGCAAGGTGTATCATTTCTTATTTTCCCTAGCTAATGCTGGCCAGCACACCCCTCTCACCCAATAAGGAGATGCCTGGGACACTTTTATAGAAATGAAAAGTGCCTGGCTCTTAAAGATAACAATTCCTTCTCCCCTTCATTTCATCATATCAAAAGAGCTAACAGACTAAGCCTAAATTCTTCTTACACTGCACTGCTCCAAATCTAATTTCATCTCATTCTCAAAACGTTTAACCAAAAATCTCTTGACCTTTTTGGCAGGTCTTTCAATAATCCCATGAAGTTATGCATTCAATGAAAGCTGGGGGGGATTAACTGCTAATTAAATGTTCATTTCAACTAATTAATATCTGCAAAATACTTGATAAAAAGAGATAACAGCTATTAAACTGTTATATATTTGAAGCAAGCATGGTGCCTATTAAAATCCCTTGGCTTTAAAGGGTCTGCTCCAAATATATTTTCTGTTATCCCCCTTTAAGAAATGAGGAACATTCTGGGTCTTGGGGGGGAACATTACCTCGTTCCTCTAACTACAGAAAATTCATAAATAGCAATTATCAAAAATCCAAAATGCTATGAATGATATTATTAAAATTTAAAAGACTTCCCACAAAACTATCTTCTAGATTTTGTAGCATCAAGTTGCATTATTGGTTTGAAAGAAGACAACAAAGTAGTAAACCTTGCTGGTTTACTGAATCTCCCTCATAGAAACATATTTCAGTATTCACTCTAGCTTTTCTTAATGCTTCAAAGGATTTCCTTCCCAAAATGTTCCTATGTAACCATTTAAAAAGAAGACAAAAAAAGAAACAAATAGGTTGCTTCTCACTTCTGCTGTCCTTCAAACATAAAAAGACAAATGGAAAAGGGATTTCAGAAGGGATTATATACGGAGAAAAAAACACACACACACATTAGTCTGCATTGAAATGGCAATGTATTACAAGCTCTCCTCTCTCCATGCACAATGCAGATGCTTCATGTGGACAAAAATAAAATGAAGATCAATACATTGTGTTCTACATGGGCGCACCATACTCCTACAGAACCGTGCCATTATTGAGAAAAAGAAAACTATAGTGCTGAAAGAAAAAGGAATGAATTTCAAATTATAGCTCTTTGGTATCAACATAAAAGCCATATAGCTTAACTAGTTCGTGTTTTACCTTATTCGTCCAACTCCAAAATCCCTTCATTGTAAATCATTTACTATGCTGGAATAACACAGGGGAAATACGTGCTCCTGATTTAGGCATGTGTAATATAAAGAATTCATGAATCTGTAGGAAATTTTGCCCCAAAAGACCACTTCACGCTCTCCTCCAATATTAGGATTTGTCTTTTTTTTTCACTTGAAAAAAAAGATAATCTTTAAAGAGAGCACTCTTATGGACCTACTCCCCCTCCCCCAATCTTGTATAATGACAAAAAACCTTTTTTATTTATTTTTTCTCCCAAGGGAGAGAGGAAAACCACCAAAACATCTGATTGTCACTGACTATTTAAAAATAAAAGAATTACGAATATACTTATCACCATTTATAATGGGAGAAAAAAGGCTATTCTCAGATCAGGACTAAAAACTGAGGTTTAAATTGTCAATACTGGCACCAGAAAAAATAAGTGGCATCAAATACTGAGAAGCAAAGCACAAGTAGATTTCTTTCCCAAATGTATTCATGCATATGGAATTGAAATGCATCACATCCATATCCAAACCTCATTGCCTTTTTTCTCTTAGCTACTTGCACATCATTTGCAAATGTGTCATTAAGGTTGGCAGGCTGCCCTACTCACCTATTCGGATGATGTGCACAGTGATATAGATGTCCTTTCTGAGCTCACTGCTACCCAGATCCTGCCAAAGAAATCAAGGAAGGTCATCTGACAGCTTACACATGAAAAAATAACATTGGAAGGGTATGGTATGTTACTTTGCCAGTACCTGGCAAAAAGTAGGCACTTAATAAATGGTAGTTGACCTACAGCACACAGAAACAGGCTTATCACCTGGCACTGCTAGGACTAACATTATTTCACAATAATAACCTTATTCTTATGAAAGCCATACCCCCTTGTAACACTATTTCATCTAACATCATGTTTTCAGGGAGCCAGTTAAGAACATTAGCCTATTCCATATGGAAAAATAAATAGCTCAAAAAGGAATTAGATTCCTAAAATGAAAAATGAAGTTATGTTATACCTAATTATCAGAAGGAGAGATAGACAGACAGATTGATGATAGATACATAAGTAGATGCAGAGAGAGAAGAAGGAGAGGAGAGAGAAGGAGAGGGACAGAGAGAGATTAAATCATATTACAAATGCAATTGGAACTACAAAGATGTTTCCTTTTAATAAAGAATGATTTCAAGCAGTAACCAGTTGGTTACTTGCTTCAAAACAAAGGTCAACAATATTTTAGCATAGCAAAGGAATGTTCATAGTTCCTAATGTCACTCTAACAGGATTTGACCCATATAAAAGAAAAAAAAAAGTAGAGTTAACAAATGATGTTACAACTGATACTATGGCCAAATTTCTGAATCTTCATGAGATTTATAAGCTAACTAGCAATCTTAAGCAAGAACAACGGAGTCTACTTACAATAGGAATTTGAATAAGTACAATGGAAGAAAGTTTTCTTGCATATGAAAATAAGGTACACTCACCACAAAGAGAGAACAATGTCTTTCAGGCTTCTCTGGGGACTTTGGCAGACCATTTCTATTTAGTCTCAAAAAAAACCTCTCACTGCAAGCAAGAAAAAAAAATTTTCAAGTTTAAGAAGTTAGTTTAATTTCTTTATTTTTATTTTTTTTTCATTCTTCTATAACTTTTATTCTCAAACCTTTTCATTCTCAACTTTCACAATTTTAGTAAATACCATTCCAAATGGCATGGATTTTATAGAAAATTTGCCTCTATAAAAATAGCACCTAAAATAGGGGCAGCTAAGTGGCTTGGTGGATAGAATACTGGGGCTGAAGTCAGGAAGACCTGAATTCAAATCTGGCCTCAGACACTTAATAGCTATGTGTCCCCTGGGCAAGTCACTTAACCATTGCTTGTCCTAATCCACTAGAGAAGAAATGGCAAATCACTCCTGGTCTTTGCCAAGAAAAGGCCGTGGACAGTATAGTCCATGGGGTCATGAAGAGTTAGACATGACTGAACAACAACAACAAAGCACCTGAAACAAAAAGAGTTTGCTTCTCTTGGGATAAACTTTGCAAGTCAACAACCCAGAAAGGGGAAAATATAAGGTACAAAGAAATGACTTCCTGATAAGTGAAAAGAATTTGAAATCCATGTTTTCATTGTTTTTCTTTCCAAAAGCATAGCCAGAAATTAAATAAAAAATGAGTATGAAACAAAGTATCATTTGCCTGTCCTTACTCAAGATTCACATGGAGCTTATTAGTTTTTTCCTTAAATTAAATTTTATTTTTAATCATTGAAAATCTGCTTTTTCTCTCACCCATCTCTACCTTTCACTGAGAAAGAAAAAAAAAACATTATTTCAAAGATGTATGGATGAGCAAAACAAATTCTTACATTGATCATATCTAAAAAAAATTGTCCAAATCTATACTCTGACTTCATAAACTTTCTGTCATGGCATGAAGAATATGTTTTATCATGAGTTCTCTAGAATTGTGGTTGGTCATTGTATAGATGAGAGTCCCTAAGTCTTTGAAAGTTGCTTATTACAATATTATGATTGTATAAACTGTTCTTCTGATCCCATATACCTCATTCTGTATTGTATCAGTTCACAGTCTTCCCATATTTCTCCAAAACCTTCACCCTTTCATTATTTTTCAAGCACAATAGTATTCCCATCACATTCATACACCATAACTTATTCAGCCATTACCTAGTCGATGGGTCCTCACCCCAAGTCTAATTTTTATTTAAATACTTCTGCTTGTTGATCATTGACAGAAATGCTTAATAAAATTAAAATGGGTGGTGGGGTTATGCTCTTACAAATTCAGAATTTAGCATCCAGTAAAAAAAAAAGGCAATTCTAAGAAAAACAAAAGTCACAGAAAATATCAATGCATAAGAAATGAATTAGTTCACAATGAAATAAAGGAGCTGAAGGACTACCTACCCCATTTGTCAGTGGGGAAAAAAATCTTGCCATAATTAATGGGAATAAAAATTACTTTTGCATAGATAACTTTCAGGGGTGGATGATAAGTGGTTAAAAAAAAGGAAGAAATTCAGTTGAGGAATAAAAAAGGGCTACTTCATATTATTGTAATATTATTATCTATAAGACATTAGGCAATAGACCACCCAGAAAGTCCCTGGAACTTTATACCAATGGTCTCCAAAGCACACTGTAACAATCACTGTACAATGAGTAAGGGCTTTCTAGAGGTAACTAATTACTATTCTTGGCCCAGAGTTAACTCTGACATATGAGTTATAAGTAATAATTGTTTTCCTCCTCCTATTATGTCAAAACAGAAAGTTGAGCCTACTACATTATTTCTCACCAGCTTTCCTCATTAATGTGTACCACACTTCCAGAGCCAGGTTTGAGCTTATGCCTAAGCATAGTACAGAATATGAGTTAAGGAGCAATGAAAGACTCAGCTGAGTAAAGTATTTCCCTCAGCAGCCTGGTAACAGCACCTGGAATTTTACCTCTGATCATCACACCTTTAGCTTAAGATAATTCTGCTTCCACAAAAACCTTGTTAAAATGTAATTAAGCTTCCTGGGTTGGGTAATGCAAGAAGGTTAGAGTGTATGTTTTAAAAACATTTGGACAGTTACAGAGGTTTATCACCTCCAAGCATGTCACGTGAATGATCTCAGATCAGTTTAACAGAGGAAGCAGTCTGGTAGGGGAAGGATCACAGGACTTGAAGTCGGGAGAATTGGGTTGCTTTAGTTAGCCCTGTCAATTTGCATTGTAAACCACAGCATTCATTCAGTACTTATTCAGTTATTTCAGTCTTCCGACTCTTCATGACCCCATTTGGGGTTTTCTTGGCAAAGATACTGAAGTGGTTTGCATTTCTTTCTCCAGCTCATTTTACAGATAAGTCTGAGTCTAAGAGGCTTACGTGACTTGCCCAGGGTCCCATAGCTAGTGTCTGAGCTGAGATCTGAAGTAAGGAAGATGAATCTTCCTGAGTCTAGACATGGTGCTCTGTCCACTATGCCACCTAGCTGCCAACACTAACTAGGTCCCTGGAGTAATGGACATTTTTTTAAAAACAGAAATAGGGGTGGGAGATTATGGGAAAGAGATCAGAAAGGTCTAAACCTAGTAACTGCTTGGCAGGGCCAGGTGAGCTCACTTTAATGGAGACAGAGGAATGATGATGGATCTAACCAGAAGGACATACTAGACACCTGAGAATGAAAACTGTAGAAAGGGAAAAGACAGATTTTTGCCAGCTTCCCAGTTCCGCCTAAGACTATCTTGCACAGAATGCTTAAACATCTAAATAGTTTATTTATCAAGAGAGGGTATGAGGTGACAAGTATGCATTAGGCATGGAACATTGGAAGAAGAAATGCCATTTGTTTCTGTATTCTGTTGAATTCTGTCTCTGGATGGCTGTCCTTAGTATCAATAGATGTTGCTAGAAACAGGGACAGGGGCTATTCTGGAACTACGAATTCACTGGCATGAGGAACTGCCCAGATGAGGACAATGCTCCTACCAAGGCAAGGTGGCATCTTCTCTGACACTTACAGTCCCAGAACACTGGGAAGGAAACTCTTCCCAGGGTTACACAGACAGGAGGCATCAGAGGGAGGGCTTGAACCCAGGTCTTCTGGGTTCTAAGCCTGGCTTTCTGTCCACTCTGCCCTGCTGCCTTTTGATTGCTAATAAAATGAGACTTCATTTGGTTCCCTTTCCCTCCACGCTCACCCACATCCCAATTCCTGCAGCTACTTTTGCAGCCTGAGGCACTGGATGAGAACCAATAACTATTTTACATCAGCCTGGGAGGTCTAGGGTGCTGCGGCTTGCCTGCCACTCCCATGCTTAAGAAAGTAAAACTCAAAACCAAAGGCATAAGACTAAGACCTGAGTGGGAATATGTTTTCTGGAGAAAAAAACTTGGACAAAGAGTGAAATCTGGTCTGTGAGGGAGAATGGGTCTCTTTCCTCTTTTCAGTTACCGAATAACGGTTACAGAAACAAGTAAGGATATAAAACTCACTTTGCCCAACTTACTGCCTTCAGGCAAATGAGAAAAATGGCAATGGTGTGATATGAAGAGCACTGGATTTGAGGAATACATACACACACACACACACATACACATGTATACACACACGAGCTGGATACAAAAACATATTTCACTCAACAGGGAGACAAAAGGAAAAAGGAAGGGGGGGGGAATTAGAGGTAGGGTACATGAAAGAAGGGATTAATTTTAAGCAAGAGAACATAGGATTCAATGTCAGAAAGTCTGAGTTCAAGTCTCTGGGGACCTGCCACTTACTACCTGTGTGATTTTGGGAAAGTCATTTATCCTCTTCAGGATCTTTGTTTCTATGTCTATAAAATGAGCGGCTTGAAACCCCAAAGTCCCTTCCAGTTATAAATCCTGGGAAGAATTCAGTATAATGGCACAGAAGATAGAATGACAGTTCTGGAGTCAGGAAGACTTGAGTTCAAATCCAGCCTCAGATACCTATGATCCATGTGATCCTGGATGTCACTGAACCCTTGCTTGCCTCAGTTTCCCTATCTGTAAAATGGAGTTAATAATAGCACCTACCTCCCAGGGTGATGATGAGGATCAAATAAGATAGCAATGTGTTGCCAGTGACTGTCACACAGTAAGCGCTATATAAATGTTAGCTATTCTATCAAGAGGATAAATGTTTATTGAGTCACTCCTAAATGTTGAATACTGTGCTAGGCTGAGGGGCATATAAGCACCAACAAAACACAGTCCCTGCCTTCAATAAGCTTACAGTCCAGGAGGAGAGGTAAGGTATGTACCAGAGCCAGGTAGGGATTACACCTATTCACCCACTGATAGAGGAAACTCCCAGATGAAGAAACTCCATTTGCTAACACAGAGGGCCACCTTCTTTGCAGTTTACAATTTTAGAGACTGACTTAGCCAGAGTGGAATGTGTCAGATGCAGGACTTGAACCCAGGTCTTCATAATGTTCAAATGAGCATTCTACCCATTTTGGTACGCTGCCTCTCAAGACACAGGCCTAACTATAGTGCAAAATAATATTACTAGTGCTTAAGAGAGGAATAACAATCTGCAAGTTCAGAGGAAAAAGACAGCTCAATCTCTACTGGGGGTAAAGGCAATTAGGCAAAGCTTCATGGAGGAGGTAGATCTTGCTTGGGAGACTGGAGGAAGGAGAATAATCACTCTTCCTGGAGGAGACATGAAACCAAACACTTAATCACCAAGTTCAAGGAAACACTAAACAGTCAACTGCCCAGCTACCAAAAGATAGCCTCGTAAAACATATTCAGTCAAGGTTTGGGGCCAAATGAACACAGCTAAATCAACATTAAGAAGCTTTATCAAGGCAGATGATCTCTTAGGTAGGTTGCACCACTAATGCTAACACCTCCCACTAATAATGGTCACCAACATCTGTTAATTTGTTACTTCCTCTATGTGAGGGACTGTGGCTAGCTATTGGAGACACAAAGCAGACCACGACTCCCCAAGGGGATTACATTCTAGCTGGAGGTACAGAACAAATACAAACAAGAGAACATAAAAATCCCAGA